TCAGGATCCTGGGATTGAGCCCCGCATCAGGCTCTGCACTCAGCATGCAGTCTGCTTAAGATTTTCTTCTTCCTCTGCCCCTCCACCCCCGATTCTCTAATAAATAAAATCTTAAAAAGAAAAGCCAAAACTGTTTCCAGACATTGCCAGATGTCCACTGAATCATAAAATCATCCCTAGGTGAGAATCAGTCCCTAGAGTAAGAGCCAATCTAAAACTGTCCTAACAAACTGAAACAAATTCTCAACAGGATTATGCTGATCAATAATGTTACCCCCTAAATAAAATTCTTTAAAGGAAGAAAAAAAAACCCAACAATAAATGAAAATTTATTTCCAGTAATACAAGTATGAAGAGGTCAACAATTTCCCTACTTAAAAAAATATTATAAAGCTAGACAAAATGGTCAAAAACTATCATTTCAAGGCATGAGAAACCAACCTAGGGTAAACTATAAGTTGAGAACTATTTATTCCTGAAAAAACTGCTAGAGCTTTTGGGGAAGAAAAAAAAAAGTTGGAGCCTGGGGGATTCTTGAGTGAGGTTCTCATTCTACCCAAGTTGATCAGGAGGGATTGTATCTTTAACAGGCTATGGCTGACTACAAAAACCAACAACTCTGCCCCAAGAGGGAATGGACTTGATTCAGTGCAGTGGTGTTAAATCTATAGCTTTGTCAGTTAATGTGGAGGAAATCAGTTAGGAATGGCCACGGAAAACCTGTAGTTACTAGTCAAAAGTTATAGTCCCAGTTCTTAGCAACAGAACTACCAGAAATTTATTTAGATGATCCTGGAAACAAGACAAACACAGAAGGGCTAAGATTAGTTCTGTACACATCTTGTCTAACTCAGAAATGAGGCAAACACAGGAGAGACCCCAGGAGGACTTGAGAACTGGTTGCAATACTGAATATATCTCCCCTATCCCACACAGGGAACAATTAGCAGAGGGTAGAAGGTCTAGAGACTCAAAAGTGTTTGATGTCAACCTCTGTTTAAACAATGGCTGACTACTAAACTATATAGAGACAGAGGTTACCCCTAGGGAGCCAGGATAAAAACTGAAATAAAGAATTTAAAAAACTGAGTGGAGACACCACAGGGACAATAGATTCCACAGTTTGAGTCCAGGCAAGATCATAAATTTAAAAAAAGAAGAAAGAAATCTTAGATACAAAACATAACCAAGAATTGCTACAATATATTACCTAAAATGTCTAATTTTCAGCCAAAAATTATTAGACATGCAAAAAACAGACAAGCATGAAACATGTTAATATGTAAAAATGTTAAAAATGAATCAACAAAATAGGAAATCTATATAACTACAAAAAGAACCAAATTTAAAAAAAAGAACCAAATTTAAATTCTAGAGTTAAAAAGCATAATTACTGAAATTAAAAATAAAAATGGGCTCACCAGCAAATATGAGATAGCAAAGAATCATTGATTTAAAGACATATCAATAGAAAGTATCCAAAGAATTAAAATAAAAAAGATTGAAAAAATGAACAGATCAGAAACCAACATATGTGTAATGAGAGTCAGAGGAGGAAAGAAAAAGGAGAAAAAAACTTTTGAATAACAGCCTAAAAGTTCCCAAATTTGATTAAAAACAACATTCAGATGCAAACAGCTCACCAAATCCCTAGTAGAATAAATACTAAGAGAATCTAGAAACACCAGAGTCAAAATGATAAGACTAAAAAAAATCTTCAAAGGAGCCAGAGAAAAATGATTCACCACACAGAAAATTAACAATGGACTTACAAAAAATGATGGACAAAGGCAATGAAAAAACAAAGTCAATGTGCTCAAACAACAAAAAACTATAAATCTAAAATTATCTATCAAGTGAAACTATCATTCAGAAATGAAGTCAAAATAAAAGCATTCCCAGAAACACAAAAATTAAGAGAATATGTTGCTAATAGGCTTACCCTGTAAAAGGTACTAAAGTTCTTCAGGCTGGAAGGAAAAATGCCAGGTAGTATGTTAGTTACACAGGAAGGAATGAAGAATACCAAAGACAGTAAATATAAAAGATTGTATATGTTTTCTCTCTCTTCTTAAAAAAAAAGGATAATTCAAAGCAAAAATTATAACAAAATTGTTGGAATATATATGCAAATATATGCATATTATAATGTAATTTATACAATGACATAATATAAATTAGAAGGGGAAAGAAGTGAAGCTAAAAAATGCAAAACTGATAAATTTTACTGAAATGAAGTCAGTAGTAACCTGAGAGAGACTGAGATAAACTTAAGATGAATACAGAAATCTCTATAGCAACCACTAAAATAACTGCTAACCCAAAATAAAACAGGAAGAAACAACTATAACAACAAAACCCCTTAAGACATAGAAAACAGAACAGCAAACATAAATTTGATCTTACCAATATTTACATTAAATAAGTGGATTACATATTCCAATTAAAAGGCAGAACCTATTACACTGGATTTTAAAAACTCAAGATCCAACTATGTGCTTTCTATAAGAGACAAATCTTAAATTAAAAGACATAATAATGTTAAAAGGACAGAAAAAGATACATCAGACAAATGGTATATACAAGACAGCTGAAGTAGCTATATTAACATCAGACAAAATAAACTTTAAAATGAAAATTACTAAGGTATTTCATAATGATAAATAGCTCAACAGTAAAACAATGATAAATGAATAGGAACATAATAATAGAATCAAAATAGATGAAGCAAAAATTGACATATAAAAAAGAAATAAATATTTAATAGGTAGAATCAGAGGTATCAACACTCCTTCATCAGTAATGGAAAGAAAAACTACACAAAAATCGTAAGTATATGGAAGACTTAACACTATCAACCAACAGACATAGAATACCCCACCCAACAGCAACAGAATACACATTTGTTTCTAACACAAGGAACATTCTCAAAGACAGACCACACTGTTGATCATAAAATACTATCAATAAATGTTAAAGGATTCAAAGTGTACAAAGTATGTTTTCTGCATACATCAGAGGCTAACAAATCACACTCACAGGTTGAATACAGATCACTGCATTTTGTATATAGTTTTATTGCAATATAACCACATTTATTCATTTACTTATTGTCTACTGATGCTTTCATGTTTCAGCTGCAGAACTGAGTAGTTGCAATGTAAACCATATGGCTGCAAAAGCTAAAACTGCAGAAAAACTTAGCAAATCTCCAAATTAGTTCAGAAAAAACATATCTGGAAAAAAACCCAAATATTCACAATTTACAAGAAACACTTCCAAATAACCCACTGGTCAATGAGGACCTTACAAGAAAAAATTTTAAATATCTTGAATTAGATGACATATCAAAGTGAAGCTTTAAGTGGCTGAATTAGAAAGGAAGAAAATTCTAAAATAATCTAAACATTCATCTTAAGCTAGGAAAAAAAGGGCAAATCAAACCCAAAGTAGAATACACTAAATTATAAAGATTTGTTTATTTATGAGAGAGAGGGAGAGAGGAAAGAGGGAGATGGAGAGGGAGATGGAGAGAAGCAGAGACCCTGCTGAGCACGGAGCCCAGACCAATGAGGAGCTCGATCTACAACCCTGAGATCATGACCTGAGCTGAAACCAAGACTCCCAACGCTGGACCGATTAAACCACCCAGGTGCCCCAGAATGCACTAAATTATAAAGATGAGATCAAAAATGAATGGAACAGAAATACAAAGAGAAAAATCAATGAAACTAAAGTTAACTATTTTGAAAGAACTGATAAAACCTTAGCAAAAAATGACCAAAAAAAAGGAAAAAATAAAAAATAATTATACAGCAAAATCTGTGCTTCAGATACTATACTATTTTTATATTAATTTATGTGTATTTTAAGATTTTATGTCAAATCTCAAAAAAGCTTTTGAAAGAGAAAATATTATAAATTTAAGAAAATCAAGGTGAAAATTTAGAAATAGGCAAATTCTTCAAAAATTAGCTTACCAAAACTAAAAAGATAAGAAATCTGGATATTCTGGTACTTATTAAAGAAGTCAAAGCCATAATTAAAAAATCTCTCCATAAAGAAAACTCCAGACATGGATGGTTTTACTGGTAATTCTAACATTTAAGAAGGAAATGTTACCAATCTTTTAATAACTCTTCCAAGGATTACAAAAAGAAGGAACAGTGTTCACAGGGAATACTACTCAGAAATAAAATATGAATGAACTGATATACATACCAAAGTGGATGAAACTTAGACACTCTGTTGAATGAAAGTATATTTTATGAGTCCATTTATATAAAGTTCTAGAACAACCTCCCTACCACTATAAAAAAGAATGGTGGCCCAAGGGCCCAAGTCAGGTTGACAGGTATTGAATTAGACAGAATAAACTTCCTGAAGTGGCAAAAGTTTTATGGGTTACTTAATGTATTAGATGTACTTGCCAAGAACTCATTGAACTGTAAGATCTATGCATTTGACTATTTGTAAGTTACATCAATAAAATAAATGCTTCACTTAAAAAAATAATCAAGCCATTGCAGATTACTGAACAAAAATCTGGCCAGTCTAGGCAAAGAGGGAAACACATCTAGTCCTGTAACTCTTGACTTGGGAAAGCAAATATAACCAGTTTCTCTAGTGATAAAAAGTTTATTCATATACTAAATTCGGCAACTTATGGAGACACTGAGAAGTTAACAGACAGTGTCTTAGCAAGCCTCACAGGAAAATAAATTTGCATCGGATTTTTTTAAATAAAAGAAACAGCTAACGCATACTGTTGAATTACAACAGTAAAATTAATTAAATAATGTCGGCATTAATTAATTAATTAATTAAAAATTTTTGTTTTTAAGCCACCAGTTTGTACTATATTTTGTTACAAAGCCCTAAGAAAGTAATACAGATGTATTATTTACATATACCACAATTCTCTATTATTGGATTATTTTGTTAGTGACTTAAAACATTTGGAAAAGATTACTAAATGAATGAACATATTAATCAAATCTCTTCTAAAAAAGAAATGTCCTATATTTCACTGTGAGAGCAGAGATTCTTTTCATGTTATTAAAATACTATGAATATGGGCATCACTACAGACTATGTGTACATTTATAAAAAAAATCAGAAGACACATGGGGGTTTGAAATGTTTATCAGATAAAAGAACACACAAAACTGAATAAAATTTTTATTTTAAAATATCACAAATAATTACAAAGATAAATGTCTCAACTGCACAAACTGTTTTATATCTATGTGTGTGTATATATATATGTGTGTGTCTACATATATATACACACACACACGTATTTAAACTTTGCTTCATCTTTCATCTTTTTATCTGAGTAAAAAGAAGAACACTTTCCTCATTCAGGAGATTTTTGATGTTGTAATAATTACCTAGAAGTAAAGCAGTAAGAAAAAAAATTATTTCCATAGGAATCATTTCCTTTTAATTAAATGTTTAGCCATCACTAAGGCAGTTACAGTATATAGTACCAAATTTTTTTTAATCAATTCATCTAACCTAAAGTAGGTCTTATTTAATTCTTAAGTCTATTTAATTCCAAGAACTAAAAAAATCCAAGAGTTAACCATCACCTGTGATCCAGATAAGGTTTGAGAGAAATGAAAATCTCACATCATTCTGATAATGAATGCTAAGGTGAATTAGACAAGGGTGAAGAAAGAGAAAATTTCTATATATTAGAAATTGATACATATTAAGATTAACTGAGTTATAATAATCATAATGTGTTCACAACAGTGCTGGTACATACTAAGGACTATATAAACACTGCTATTATTTTTGTCTCCTTTCATTAGAATGTAAGCTCCATTAGGGCAGGGATTTTTTTCCCCTGTTTTGGTCACTTACGTATCCTATACTCTTAGAGCAGTGCTTGACAGACTCTCAATCACCTTTGTTGAATGATGAATAAATAAATGAACAAATTAAAAGTCCTCTTTCCAGAGGCTTGTGCTCTTTAATAGCTGATGAAACACACTATTCTGTATGTTTAAAATAACCTACTAAAAATTACTTGACTACGTAGTGTCTTATAGGTAATACGGCAGAAATAATTTTCCTACTACTACCCTGGATAAAACTAAATATTTTTACATTTCGCAATAAGCAATTCTTGTTCAATTTTCATGTACGCAAATACTAACATACTTACCTAATGATAAAATCAAAATATGTATTGGCATGAGTCACATGACATTTCATTTTGACCACTGTGGCTTCCATTTGCATGGTACTCATGAGCAGCTATATAAATATTTTAACTATATGAAAGAAGATGTCTTTATTTTTCTTACCTGAAGGAACATAGAACGAATCCCCAGTTGTTATTATATAAGGTGTTTCATGTAAGGTACATAAAAGGTCACCAAAGTTAACATAAAAAACCTGTAAAATTAAAAATTAAAATCTCATTTCAAATTCAACACCACCACACTACAAAGAAACTTAAAGGAAATGTGGTAAGCAGAATAATGAACCTCCAAAGATGTTCACACTCTAATCTCCAGAATTTGTTTTGTTACATGGCAAAAATGACCTTGAGATTGGGAGATAGGTAAATCTGGATTATCTAGCTGGGCCTTTTCTAATCACATGAACCCTTAAAAGTGGAGAATTTCTCCTAGAAGCAGAAGAGAGGGACGCCTGGGTGGCTCAGTCGTTAAGTGTCTGACTTCGGCTCAGGTCATGATCCCAGGTCCTGGGATTGAGCCCCGCATCCGGCTCCCTGCTTCGCAGGAAGCCTGCTTCTCCCTCTCCCACTCCCCCTGCTTGTGTTCCTTCTCTAGCTGTCTCTCTCTGTCAAATAAATAAATAAAATCTTTAAAAAAAAAAAAAAGCAGAAGAGAGATGAAGCAGAGGAAAACCAGAGAAATTCAAAGCATGAAAAGGACACAGACTGTTGCTGGCACTGAAGATAAGAGGGCCATGAGCCAAGGAATATAGGCTCTTTCTAGTCTAGAAGCTGAGACTGAATTCTGGCTAACAGCCAGCAAGGAAATGAGAGCCTCAGTCCTACAACAACACGGAACTGAATTCTGCCAACAACTGAATAAACTTGAAAGCAGAGTCATCCTAAGCATCTCCAGAGAGGGATACAGAGCTCCCAATATCTTGATTCCAGCCCTGTGATACTCTAAACAGAATACTCAGCCAAGCTCATGAGGATTCTAATCTATAACTGTGAGATAATAAACGGGTGTTGTTTTAAGTCAATGAATTTATAGTAATTTGTTAAAACAGCAACAGAAAACTAATACAGGAAGAAATTTCTTTTGTTCTTATTATTTACCAGCTTATGAAAATTCAGAACCACGGTAAATAATATCACTTAGCTATACTACAAAATAGCTAGGTTTTAGGTACACCTCTTTAAAAGTTACATGGTTGGGTCAAGTAATTCAATCTGACAGATGAAAGAGAGAACAAAAAGCAAAACAAATAAATGATACATTTAAACAAGCATCAACATTAAGAAAGAAAAAGAGGATAAATCTAACTCTCAGTCATAAAGGCTTCCATATTCATATTCATGGCAAATTTTACATTTTATACATAGGTAGCACCCTGGCAATGATCTGGTTTTGGGGTTACTAAAAAAACATAAAGCCTTCAAACATTCAGATTCAAATTTTGAGATTCAGCCATCAAAAATATATTGCCTCAGAGAATCACTCCTCCTCTTCCACCTCCTTCTCTTTTTTTTCTTAACACTTTGTAAAATGAGCCTAAAATACCAGAGAAACAATAGCAGCTAGCATGTACATAGCACTTACTCCTTGCCAGCCACTATTCTGAACACTTAATTTGTTCATTTAATGTACGTAAGTAGCAATGAGACAGGTACTATTTTAATAGCTTTATACAAATGAAGAAAATGAGGCAACAGAGGTGTGTAATTTTCCAAGTTCACAACGTAAATGGCAAAAATGAGATCTGAACTCAGGCACTTTGATTCCAGAATTCACGCTTTTAACCACTATAATATGCTAACTCCCTAAGTAGGAAAAAAGCTCTTCAAAAAGTTCCAAAGGTACTTTATAACTTAATAAAAAAAAATTTTTTTATTACATCTAAAAGAATTTTTGCCTCAATTTAAAAGACAAAAAGGTAACAAACATACTACCCAGAAAGTCAAGCATATATTTTTAGGTGTTTTTTTTTTTCCTTTATCTATTTAGTTGAGCTAAGTACACCTCTTTCCACTTCTGCAAACATTTTAATAGGAAGGCTTTTCAAGTACACAAAAACAGAATGATGAACTCCCATGAATATCTAATACCAACAATCTTCCCTGTTCCATCACTTTACTTCCCCCATTCCATGTTATTTTGCAATAAATACCCCAACATCATAAATCATCTGTAAATATTTCAGTGTGTACTAAAAAATCAAGGTGTTTTTAAAATTTTTATTTATTTTTTAAAGTTTTATTTATTTATTTTTTTAGTAATCTCCATACTCAGCATGTGGCTTGAACTCATCACCCCAAGATCAAGAGTCACATGCACTACCAATAGAACCAGCCAGGCACCCCCAAGGTGCTTTTTAAAAACACAACTACAACAGTTTTATCACACCTAAACATAAATACATATTTAATATCAAATACCCAGTCAGTATTAAAATTTCCAACTGTCTCTTAAATGTATTTTTAAGAGTGTTTATCCTCTTAAATTGCTCAATCTACAGTAGTTCTCAATTTGAAGGTAATTTCTCAATTTCAGGAGACAAGAGGCAATGTCTGGGAACATTTCTGATTCTTACAACTAGAGGAATACTACCAGAATCTAGTTGGCAGAGGTCAGGGATGCTACTGAACATTCCACAATGCACAGAAAGCCCTTCTACAATAAAGCATTATCCAGTCTAAAATGTCAGTAATGCCATGGTTGAGAAACACTGATCTATAGGTTCTACTTGGTTCTTTTTTATTCCTTGCAACTTACCTATTAAAGAAAGCAAGCAGAAAAGTTTGCTGTAAAAATCTTTGCATAGTTGAATTTTGCTGATTACAACCTCAGGTATCATTTGAAAGGTCATCTATTCTTTATTTCCTTAAATTGGTAGTTAGATATTAGAGTTTTGATCAAATTCAGGTATTTTTGTTGTTTGCTTTATGTTTTTTCTCTTTTTTTGGTTTGTTGGTTTGTTTTTAAAGGAAATGGAAGAGGCAAGACTATTTCATACATAGTATTGTATTCTTCCATCAGGAGGCACATAAAGTCTGGTTGTCTTCTTTTCATTTATTTTTTTCTCTTTCTTTTTTTTAATATATTACTTTTTTAATTAATTTTTTAACCCCATCCTCCCCACCTCCTCCCCTCCAGCAGTCCTCAGTTTATTTCCTATGATTATGAGTCTCTTATGGTTTGTTTCCCTGATTTCATCTTGTCTTATTTTTTCCTCTCTTCCCCTATGATCCTGTTTTGTTTCTTAAATTCCACATGAGTGAGATCATATAATTCTTTCTCTGATTGACTTATTTCACTTAGTATAATACCCTCTAGTTCCATCCACATTGTTGCAAATGGCAAGATTTCATTTTTTGATGGCTGAGTAATATTACATTGTGTGTATATATATATATACACACACACACACACACACACACTACATTTTCTTTATCCACTAGTCTGTCCAGTGGACATCTGGGCTCTTTCCATAGTTTGGCTATTGTGGACATTGATGCTATAAACACTGGGGTGCAGGTGCCCCTTCAGATCACTACATTTGCATCTTTGGTATAAATACCCAGTAGTGCAAGTGCTGGGTCATATGGTAGCTCTATTTTCAACTTCTGGGGTTGTCTTCTTTTTTAGATGTTAGCAGACATTCATATTCAATGCCTAGACAGATCCAACAGTTTATCAGGGATTGCAAAATGGTAATATTTTATTCTACCATTCCTTTTTCATTTATTAATTGGAATATTTTTAAAGATTTTATTTATTTATTTGAGAAAGAGAGACCACAAGCAGGGGGAGCATCAGCGGGAGAGGGAGAAGCAGACTCCCACTGAGCAGAGAGCCTGATGTGGGGCTCGATACCAGGACCCTGAGATCATGACCTCAGCCAAAGGCAGAGGCTTAACTGACTGAGCCCCCAGGCACCTCTAATTGGAATATTTCTAAAAAGGACAACTTCACCTCATTTTTATTTGGTTACATAATAGTACAGTTTATAAGGGCAAAAAAAATGTTTATTTCCCTTTATTTACCATATTTGTTGTCAAAATAAGTTAGGCTCTTAGAATTCTCCAAGAGCAGTGAATTAGTTTTTCTTTTCTATAGCAGTCTTTCAAATTCATGAATTTAAATATAATGGATACGTATCAATCCATTTAAGTTATTCTTACTGATTCTCAAGTTTTCACATCTTTGTCCAGTGAGAGCATCTTCAAGTTGGATCCTGAGACCTTATGACCCAACTCTAATGGTCTTTGGTAAGTTTGCTAGCAGTTATGATTAAAAAAAACATTTCAAGCTCAGGAGCATTTGGATGACGCAGTCAAGTAGGCCTCCAACTCTTGGTTTCGGCTCAGGTCATGTTCTCAGGATCGTGGGATTCAGCCCCATGTCAGGCTCCACGCGCAGAGCAGAGTCTGCTTGAGACTCTCTCTCCCTCTCCCTCTGCCCCTCCTCCCCTCACTCTCTCTCTAAAATAAATAAGTCTTAAAATATATATATAAATAAATATATATATACATATATATGTGTATATATGTGTGTGTGTGTGTGTGTGTGTGTGTGTGTGTATATATATTTCGAGCTCAGCTCCAGGCTTGCATTCAGACATTTCTCTAAGGAACTCTGGTTCTTTAAAGTATGTTACTCTCACTTCTTTGTTTTTTAGTTCTGGAACATTTATTGTCTAATTTTTCAAATATTTCCACCCCTTCACTCATTTGTGTTTTTTCCTCTCTTCTCCTGTTTTTTTTTCTGTTCTCCACATCACTTCACTTTTTTATTTTCCATTTCTTAATCTCCTTGTCTTTTGGGAGAGCTCCACAACCAACTCCCATAGTTAATCTGTTAATTCTTCTGTGGTTTGATTTTAACAAATCTACTACTGCTACTATCTCCCTCTCATACAGATTCTTTAACACTGAGTTTGAAGGAAAGAGTTAACAGCCTATGCTAGTTCTCCATCTGGTCCCTTTTGTTTCTCAAAAGCATATATTTAAAAGTGTGCTTCATGTTTTAAAAAACGTAAAAATACTCTATTATACAAAAAAATAAAAAAACTTTAACTCTGATTTTCATTATAAAAAGTTAAAGGCAATACTTAGAAGAAATAAAAATCAAGTATAATCATCTGATAACATGTTATTTTTCTATAGTTCCTTCAATTTGCATTTTTAAATTCTAGTCAGAATAAAATAGAGAGTTTTCTATTTTCCATAAGTTTGCTTAAATATTTATCCTAAAGGTCTTCTTATATGGCTATTCTTCAAAAATAATATGCTTAAACTGATATAAAAATACTTAGTACAGTACCTGGAACATCTAAGTGCTATATAACTGCTTATTATCATATAATGACATCTTATTAAGTCAAAATATAAAATATAACCATTTCTTTCTGCAACACTTTCCAATGGTTTCTAATTTTTGCAGTTACTATCAATGTTACAATAAATACCTATATATCCAGCTTCCCCAGCCTTTAAATTATTTTCTGAGGAAAATACTCTGAAATGAGATTCATAAATCAAAGGGTACAAATATTTTTCCAATAATTTCTACTAGCTAAGTAAATATAAAATATTGTTTTTAATGTGGATTCCTTTGAATAGCAGTCAGATTAAATACTTTCAAACATTTACATTTAAATTTTCTTTTGTATAATAAAGGCATTATAGTTTAATGGGTAACTGCTATTATTTCAATGATGATATTTCATAATGCTTATCTTCATTTTATATTAATTTTATATTAATTAATTAACTTAATGATTATGCAGAAGTCATCATTACTTCAGTTAGTTCAATGTGTTATTTTTACTCTTTTAATAGTATCTGGAGAATATTTTAAGATTGGGTTAAAGCATATTTTAAAGTATTTTAAATCTAATTCTAGTTATACTAATGTATTAATGAATTACTCTGACCTTCATGTGTACCTTCGTTTCTTGCCTCAATTTGCCCTTCTTTGATAATATAAACTCAAGGGCTTGATGTTCTTTTTTTCTTTCTTGAGTTTAATTTTGTCAGTAAAAATAATTGTTTTGAATGCAATACTCCAGTAACTCATTGTATCACAGGTTCCTGAAATGTTACCTACTGAAAAATGTGCCTTAGACTCAGTATTTTTAAATGGCAGTAAAATAGTAAATATTATTAAAATTGGTGATATTCAAATTCTGTAATTTTCAAATTCAAAATGTACAAATACAACATGTATCTATCTCACATCAATGGTGCAGGTGCGTGTACCTCCAATGAGACACAAAGGGATGGACTCACCTTGAATCTCATTATAATTTCAGCCAGTAATACTGCCATATAATAATACATTTAGTGCTTATTGAAGTAAGTAGCTCCTAGTCCTCAGTCTACTGCTGATTACATGATTCTGAAGAAGACTTTTAAGACCTCATTATTGCTAAACTACATGATCCGTGAAATGAAATTTAGACTTAATTTTCAACAGCTCTAATGATTTGTTTGCAAACCTGTATTCTATGGTTCTTTTAAGTAAAGAACATTCCTTAGCCTGCTTCTCCCTCTCTCTCCCTCTGCTTGTGCTCTCTCTGTCAAATAAATAAATAAAATCTTAAAAAAATTAAATAAATGAATTGGCTGCTTCAACACTTTAAAAAAAAAAAATTTTGAATTTCAAGGTTACACCGCTATGCACAGAACAGGTACTTTTAAATAACCACTAGCTGACTGACTAAACAGATTTAACACAAAAATTCTCTATGCACAACAATAATATCATTTCTGATAAAACAGCATTTTTAATGCCTCATCAAGTCCAACAAATCAGAGTTATACCAACAGAGCAACATAAACATATGGAGAAATATACTCACCAATATATCTGAGCCAACATGCTGCTTTCCCTTTTCTTGATGTGGTCCTAATATTAATTTTCCAGTAGAAAAAATAGGTGTATCCAGTGTTTTATACACTTTCAACTCACCATGCTCAACAAAAAATTGATACGTATCTCGTGGCCTTAAAAGATCTAAGGGAAAAGCGCTAATATAAATATAAAGCAAACAGCAATAATAAAGCTCAATGATATAACATATACACACACATATACAACAGAATTATTCCTAGATATAAACCTGCCTTACAAAGACAGAAGTGATTAAGGTCATTTACTTGAACTAGAATGGCAGAGGTCAAATTTTGTATGTCTCACAAGTTGTGTGACCAGGCAAGTTAGTTCTCTCTCTCTGCCTCTCTTTTCTTTTCTATAAAATGGGACAATATAGTTCATCTATGTTAGAATTGTGACTATCAAATGAATTAATGTGTATAAAGTATTTAAAATACTGTCTGGCACAAATAAGCATTAGGTAGGTCTTAGCTATTAATAATAACAATGGCAGTATTATTATTTCTATTATAGCTCAGACAGAAAACAAAATTAGCTAAGAAACAAGAATTCCACATCTTTAAAAAGTTTAACATAGCCCACAATTAACAAATATATCATCATAATAGATTATTTTGTGCTTGCTTGACTGATTATTAAATAGCAAGATTTTTATCAAGTAAAGCAAGGGTACTTACTGTTGCTCACAATCACTATCTCATTTCTGAATTTCCCTTTTACTTATAAACTTTTCCAAATATATAGTTTAAATATTCTTCTGCAATCAACTTCTGTTTCCTTGGATATTTGGGAATGTTAGTAATCTCACAGATTACAGGATATAGAAAATACATACTCAAGAAACAGACAAAAAGTTAAGAACTCCTGACAACACTCACAACTTTTCCAACCTGATACAATATAGCAATGTTTTTAGTTAGGACACTACACTAAACAAAATTTTCTGTACTTCTACCTCTGTTGCCAAATAAACAATCTGATTATAAAAATAACTTTACTACTTAAGATGTCAAATGGAACCTATTTCACAGCCAAAATTTTAATTGGGAATACAATTACTGCCTCTCTGATTTGACCTATTTGTCCTCTGACTTAGGATAAATGGTCCTCAGTACTCACCAATATAGTCAAAACAGCTAAAACACTTAAGTATTTCCTGTATGTAAATATTACCTGTTGGTAAATAGCTAAGTGTCCCCTACTTGCCCTCATCACACTACAGTCCATCCTTTGGAACCGATCATGGTCTCAGAGACAATGTACTTTTAATGCCTATTAGATACAACAGTAGGCCTCTAGGACCCTCCACTGGCCTTAAGGTTAAGCCTGGCATTTGTGTGGCATATCAATGTCCTTGCTAGTCATCACCCTAAAGGTCTGATTTCCTAGGTACTATTATTGGCATCCCATGGCTCAGAAGGCTGTCTAAATCCTGCCCACAATCCCTGCCTGGACTCACAGTAAGGGTGTATTCTGGGATCTACCAGCAAATCGCAACAGCTACCCATAAAAAAAACCCTGTTCCCATGTGTCATCTTGGTTAAAGAAGGCCTGGGCCCTACTAGGGGAGGCAACACTCCTGATGATAACACCTGTACCCTAGAAGATAAATACATTGTGCTATGTGTCCGCTAGACATTGTTTGCTATCAGAGCTCCCCCAGAGTAGTCCTCACATAGGCTGCTTATTGGAATTAGAGACTCTACTGGACTTTGGCTCTAAAAGAGCTGGGAAGAAAAAGAGAAAGCAGATAGGCTAGTCATCAAGCCAGCAATCTGTCCTTACTAATTGTTAAATTAAACATTTTCATTATCCCTAATCTTACCCATGGGAATAATCTCTCTTGTTTCTGGGTCCTTTACCCTTGTTGGCTGCAATGGATCTCCCAGAGGTATACTCAGATCTACCATGAGTTTATTCTCTGCAAAAGAAATATCACTGTAATACAAACTACTTACTTAAAATTCTTCTCAACTAAAAGAAAGTCTAGTATGAAATACAGCTATGGACAAGTTGTAAGAAAAGAAAAAAAAAGACTACCACAGGCATAACAATCTCTTCCTATTTTCCTATTTATAAATGACTACTCTGATAAACAAAAATTCAAAACCACAATGATTTAATATAGAATCAAACATACTAAACTTATTTTCTGTAAACCTGTTATGACAACTGTTGATATTCTTGCATCATCAAAAATGTTTTGAATACTCTCTCAGAGAGCTAGAAGTATGTAATACACTAAAAATTCATTAAAATGTCTATTTTAATCATAATTTGAGCATGGGAAAAGTGAGCTTCAATGACAGGGTAATTTACTCATGAGAAGTGTTTTATATTATGCTATTAATGATTTTTTTAAAAAGCAAAATATGTCTATTTTCAGAATTTGGAAAAAAGAGTGGACATTAAAAAGTGAATTCAAGGGACGCCTGGGTGGCTCAGTCGTTAAGCGTCTGCCTTCGGCTCAGGTCATGATCCCAGGGTCCTGGGATTGAGCCCCCATCAGGCTTCCTGCTCGGCAGGAAGCCTGCTTCTCCCTCTCCCACTCCCCCTGCTTGTGTTCCCTCTCTCGCTGTCTCTCTCTGTCAAATAAATAAATAAATAAATAAATAAAATCTTTAAAAAAAAAAAAAGTGAATTCAAAACAATAGAAAAAGAAAACACATATTCCAAAACCTATAGGTTGCAGCACAAGCAGATGTTAAGAGTGAAATTAATGCTATAAAATGTTTGTATTAAGACATAAAGTTCAAAGAAACAACTTAACATTACACCACAAGAACTAGAAAAAGATTTAGCTGAAATTTAGTAGAGGAAGGAAATAACAAAGAAAAATCAGAAATAAATAAAATAGAGACCAGAATAAACAATAACATAACACTGAAAGTAATGACCAGTTTTGTCATTTGATTTCTTATTTGGCCCAATGCTTGCTTGTGCAGTAGTGTATTGTTTAATATTCACATACTAAATATTTAATAGTTTACATTGTAGATTTTCCAGCTTTGTTTTATTGTTGATCTTTACTTTTGTACCATTGTGGTTGGAAAATGTACTTGGTATGATTTCAGTCTTCTTAAATTTGTAATATTTGTTATGTCTCTTTTTATGTGAAGATTCTTCTGTGTGTACTTGAAGAAAATGTGTATTCTATTTTTCTTGGATGGAATGTTTTATATATATCTTCTAGAACCATGTATTCTGAAGTATATTTCAAGTTAAAAACGTTCTTGTTGAAAAAAAAAATAACTTTCACTGAGGGTACTCATTTAAAATAAAGCATATAAGGGGCGCCTGGGTGGCTCAGTCGTTAAGCGTCTGCCTTCGGCTCAGGTCATGATCCCAGGGTCCTGGGATCGAGCCCCGCATCGGGCTCCCTGCTCGGCGGGAGGCCTGCTTCTCCCTCTCCCACTCCCCCTGCTTGTGTTCCTGCTCTCGCTGTGTCTCTCTCTCTCTGTCAAATAAACAAATAAAATCTTTAAAAAAATAAAAATAAAAATAAAATAAAATAAAATAAAATAAAATAAAGCATATAAGAAGGGAGGTGGGTGGGAGGATGGGTGAAGTAGGTAAAGGGGATTAAGAGTATACTTATCGTGATGAGCAATGAGTAATGATGTTTAGAATTGTTGAATTACTATATTGTACACCTGAAACTAATATAACACTATATGTAAATTATACTGGGATTAAAATAAAAAACTTAAAAATAAAGAAAAAAAAGTGAATTCACCCTGAAGTATTACATCTAACATTTTTACAAATAAATTTCAAAATTTGTAAAGAGCTACTTCTCAGAGCAATATTATTTAAAATAAAATCTAAAAGTTACTTTCAGGAATAAGTTCATACTTCTTTCCTCATTATCAAGACAGATCCTTTTCCTATTAACCATTTTGTTGACTTTTCCAACGTTTCCTTTTGACTTCCTTTTAGATGATACTGTGTCTGGGGACAGTATTCCACCAATCACAAATCCCCCTGAAAGTTAACAACAAAAAAGGTAAAGTGTCATACCTGAGAGAGTAAAAATACTGAAACAAAATTTAAATTACTATAGCACATTTCCTTTCAGACTACCACAGAATCCAGTACTATTACTATATCCTAGAGCTAGTAACTCAAATAACACAAATACCAACCAATTCCACTTATGTTTCTACTACCCTAAATCTAGATGACTGATAAAACATGATAGAATCTCTGTTGCTTGAAATCAAGTCAGGTTGAAAAACAAAGAACACAAAACCCAGCAATGAAGTATTTATAATAATTCACAAGTGAGCTTAGTTCTTTGACTTAGATATATCTACCACAGAAAGGAACTAACTTTCTTGCCCACTGTCTATATTTCTGTAGAGAAATATGATGAGCAAATGGGATGAGAATAGTAAAGGGGAATATTTATTACTCTTTGCCACTTTTATAATTTTCTCATGTTCTGATCTAATGACTTAATTTATGCAATTAAAAACCTTGTTCAATAGTATGGAATAATAACATTCTCAAGCCACACACTCACCTCAAACTGCTACCAAAGAGAGAAAAAGATAAGCATTTCTATAGTATTCAGACAAATCTGTACTTGAATCTGTTCTGGCCTCATTTTTCGAAGACGATGATAAAATGAGGTAATTTATGCAAATATGTAAGACAGTGCTTTGCACATAATATAAACTGTTGCATCCTCATTATTATTTATTGTCAGATATTAAAGTGTAAATTGGAATTTACCTGATGGCCTTCCATGATAATCTATTCGCTCTCCCCGCCAATATTCCAAAGGTTTCAATCGTGTTCTCTTGGTCCTGCGAACATTTGGTGTGTTGGAAGGCAATACTGTAAAAAGATATTACACAAAAATGTACACATATAAATGTTTAATTGAATAGTCTTTGTAGTGGAACGACTGATATTACCCTCTAGAATACTAATGTTTCTAGACAAAACAGTAGAAAAACAAAAATTTTATAATATATTTGTGCTAATAAAGAAATGCCAATGAAAAAAATAAGCTGCTAGATTGGCCAAGATTAAAAAACTTGGTAACACGCAGGGTGAATGATGTTAAAGGTACACAGAAACTCAAATATATTTTAAGTAGAAATGTAAACTGACTGAAGGCAATTTAGCCATAACTTGATTCAGAATTTAATTTACAGAAAATGAGTCTGCAAAAAAATTCACAAAAAGAGGCAAAGCTAGAGGCGGTCCAAGATGGTAGCATAGGGAAGACCCTGAACTCACAACCTCCATGGACACACTGAACCTGCACCTATATATAGACAAATTCCTTCTGAAGAACTGAGAGCTGACTGAACAACTTCTGCTCAACAAAGGAGAGAGGGACCACAGAGAGAAAGGCAGGAGAGACAAGACACGGTAGTATCTGAAACTTCACCTCAATCTGATGACCTGCAGAAGGGAAGAATGTCACTGAGAGGTGCACAGATTCACCTGCCCTGAGGCACAAAAAACCCAAAACAAACAAAAAACAGTGGTTTAAAGGGTAACTGACTATACCTGAAGAAAATCCATTTACTAACCCTAGAGCATCTGCGAAAAAGTGGCACAGCTACTGGAACTCTCTCCAGGTCACAGGTGCTGGCAAGCACCATTGCTTATGTTCCTCCACTTTGATAATGCAGATGGGATCAGAATTCATGTGCTCTAGTTGGCCTGCTAGGGCTACCATAGCCAGATCCAGGACCCAAGCTCCAGCCATGCCCACAGGGTAGCACCCCACCTGCCATGCCTTATCACACCAGGGTAATCACAGCCCAAGCACACTCCAGGTCTAGTCGGCCACCCAAAACCACCAAGCACACAGAGTCTACACAGGGGATATTCCTACACAAGCCCGCTTCTTCAAGACCAGGAGACGTAACAAAATAAGGACACATGTTCATGCTCATGTTCCAAATGAAAGAGTAAGATAAAACTCAACAACAACAACAAAAAAACCTAAATGAAATACAGAAAAACAATCCACCTGAAAAAGAGTTCAAAGTAATAAAAACGCTCACCAAACTTGAGAGAAGAATGGATGAACTCACTGAGAACTTCAATAAAGAGACAGAAAATAAAAATAAAACAATCAGAGCTAAAGAATACAAAATTGAAAGGAAAAATAGACTAGAGGCATTAACAGCAAATTAGAGGATGCAGAGGAATGGATCAGTGAGATGGAAGACAGGGTAGTAAAAAAGCACCTAAGCTGAAAAGCAAAAAGAAAAAAAAAAAATTTCTAAATGAGGATAGGTTAAAGGATCCCTGGAACAACATCAAGTGTAATAATAGCAGTACTATAAGGGGTGCAGAAGAAAAAGAAGAAAAGAGAGATAGAAGGGCAGAAAACTTAACTGAAGAAATCATAACTGGAAACTTCCCTAATCTGTGAGAGGAAACAGACATCCAAGTTCAGGAAGAAGAGAGCACCAAATAATATGAACCCAAGGAGGTCCACACTAACACACAAAATAATTAAAATTTCAAAAGTTAAGATAAAGTAGAAATCTTAGAAGGAGCAAGAGAAAAGCAGATAGTTATGTACAAGGGAAAACCCATAAGGATATCAACTGATTTTTCAGCAGAAACTTTGCATGCAAAAGAGAGAGGCAGGATATATTCAAAGTCCTGAAAGGAGAAACAAAACAAAACAAAACAAACAAAAAAACCCATGAATGCTCTTCCAGGGAAGGTTATCATTCACAACTGAAGGAGAAATGTGAATTTCCCAAACAAGTTAAAGAAATTCATCCCTACTAAACCAGCCTTACAAGAAATATTAAAAGAATTTCTTTAAGCAGAAAAGAAAAGGCCATAACTAGAAGTAAGAAAATTGGGAAAGGAAAATTTTCACTGGTAAAAGCCAGCATATGAAAAAGGTAGTACATCAATCATTTATAAAGCTAGTATGAAGGTTAAAAGACACAAGTAGTAAAATCAATTATATCTAGAAAAATTACTTATAGGATTCACAAATAAAGATGTAAAATTTTACATCATATATATATAAAACATGGAGGGGGAAGCAAAAATATAGTGCTTTTAAAATGTGTTGGAACTTAACCAACCATCGACTTAATATAGACTCCTATATACACAGAATGTTATATATGAACCTCATGTTAATACCATAAATTAAAAAAACCTGTAATGGAAACACAAAACAAAAAAAGAGAGAAAAGAATACAAGCATAACACTAAAGAAAGTCATCAAATCACGAGAGCAAAAAAAAGAAAAAGAACACTACAAAAGCAACTAGAAAACAATGAAAAAAATCGCAATTAGTACATACCTATCAATTGCTTTAAATGTAAATGGACTGAATGCTCCAATCGAAAGACATAGGGTGAGTGAATGGATAAAAAACGAGACCCATCAACATGCTGTCTACCATAAACTAATTTCATGCCTAACAACACATACAAACTGAAGTTGGGACCAAAAACGGTCCATGCAAATGGAGGTGAAAAAAAAGCTAGGGTAACAATAACTACATCAAACCAAAAAAAAAAAAAAAAAAACTCTAAAGATTACAAGAGACAAAGAAGGGAATTACATAATTATACGGGATCAATCCAACAAGAAGATGTAACAGTTGTAAGTATATATGAACCCAACATAGGAACACTTAAATATATAAAGTAAATATTAACAGACACAAAAGGAGAAACTGACAGTAATACAAAAGCAATAGACTTCAGGGGTGCCTGGGTGGCTTACTGGGTTAAGCATCTGCCTTTGGCTCAGGTCATGATCACAGAGTCCTGGGATCAAGCCCCTTGTCGGGCTCCCTACTCAGTGCAGAATCTGTTTCTCCCCTTCCTTTTGCCCCTCCCCCTACTTGTACATGCACTCGCTCTCTCAAATAAATAAATCTTTAAAAAAAAAATTGTCTTTGCAGATGACATGATACTCTATGTGGAAAATGCAAAAGACTCCACCACAAAATTGCTAGAACTCCTACAAGAATTCAGCAAAGTGGCAGGATATAAAATCAATGCACAGAAATCAGTTGCATTTCTATACACTAACAATGAGACAGAAGAAAGAGAAATTAAGGAGTTGATCCCATTTACAATTGCACCAAAAACCATAAGATACCTAGGAATAAACCTAACCAAAGAGGCAAAGGATCTGTACTCAGAAAACTATAGAACACTCATGAAAGAAACTGAGGAAAACACAAAGTAATGAAAAAACGTTCCATGCTCATGGATTGGAACAACAAATATTGTTAAAATGTCTACGCTACCTAGAGCAATCTGTACATTCAATGCAATCCCTATCAAAATACCATCAACTTTTATCACAGAAGTGGAACAAATCATCCTAAAATTTGTATGGAACCAGAAAAGACCCTGAATAGCCAAAGGAACATTGAAAGAGAAAACCAAAGCTGGTGGCATCACAATTCCAGACTTGAAGCTCTATTACAAAGCTGTCATTGTCAAGACAGTACGGTACTAGCACAAAAACAGACACACAGATCAACAGAACAAAACAGAGAAACTGGAAATGGACCCTCAACTCAATGGTCAACTAATCTTCGACAAAGCAGGAAAGAATATCCAATGGAAAAAAGACAGTCTCTTCAACAAATGGTGTTGGGAAAATTGGATAGCCACAAGCAGAAGAATGAAACTGGACTATTCTCTTACACCATACACAAAAATAAACTCTAAATGGATGAAAGACCTACATGTAAAAAAGAAATCCATCAAAATCCTAGAGGAGAACACAGGCAGCAACCTCTGTGACCTCGGCTGCATCAACTTCTTGTTAGACGTGTCTCCAAAGGCAAGGGAAACAAAGGTAAAAATGAACTACTGGGACTTCACTGAGATAAACAGCTTTTGCACAGCAAAGGAAACAGTCGACAAAACCAAAAAACAATCGACAGAATGGGAGAAGATATTTGCAAATGACATATCAGATAAAGATCCAAGATCTATAAAGAACTTACCAAACTCAACACCCAAAGAACAAATAATCCAGTCAAGAAATGGACAGAAGACATGAACAGACATTTCTCCAAAGACATCCAAATGGCTCACAGACACATGAAAAAGTGCTCAACATCACTTGGCATCAGGGAAATACAAATCAAAACCACAATGAGATACCACCTCACACCAGTCAGAATGGCTAAAATTAACAAGTCAGGAAATGACAGATGTTGGCGAGGATGCGGAGAAAGGGGAACCCTCCTACACTGTTGGTGAGAATGCAAGATGGTCAGCCACTCTGGAAACCAGGATGGAGGTTCCTCAAAAAGTTAAAAATAAGAGCTACCATACAACTGAGCAATTATACTACTAGGTATTTACCCAAAGGATACAAACGTAGTGATTCGAAGGGGCACCTGAACCCCAATGTTTATAGCAGCAATGTCCATAATAGCCAAACTATGGAAAGAGCCCAGATGCCCATCGACAGAGGAATGGATAAAGAAAATATGATATATATGTGTGTGTGTGTGTATGTATGTGTGTACACAATGGGATATTACTCAGCCATCAAAAAAATGAAATCTTGCCATTTGCAACGATGTGGATAGAACTAGAGGGTATTATGCTAAGTAAAATAAGTCAATCAGAGAAAGACAATTATATGATTTCACTCATATGTGGAATTTAAGAAACTAAACAGCATCATGGGGAAGGGAGGTAAAACTAACACAAGACAAAATCAGAGAGAAAGACAAACCATAAGAGACTCTTAATCATAGGAAACAAACTGAGGGGTTGATGGTGGGGAAGGGGGTGGGTGGATGGGGTAACTGGGTGATGGAATGAGCACTGGGTATAAGGCGGATGAATCACTGACCTCTACCTCTGATACCAATAATACATTATATGTTAATTGAATTTAAATAAAAAATTTAAGAAAAGACTGATGAATCACTGAACTCTACCTCTGAAACTAATAAAACACTATACGTTAATTAATTCAATTTAAATAAAATAAAATTTAAAAAAGAAAAACTTAATAAATAAATATATTTTTAAAAAGCAGCAGCAGAAAAAAAAACCAAACTGAAACTCTCATAATCATTACAACTTTGGTTGTAAAATACTTTGGTTGTTACAGTTTACCATAACCATCTAACTGATTTTCTGCTGGAAGTATTTCTCCTGAATTCTCAAGAGCTAGTTTTTGGAGTCAAACTTAACATACTAACTTAACCATGAACTAGTTGTGAAACATCACAGAAGCTAAAGTCACTCAACCTCTCTAGTGTAAACTGTAGTTTTTTCCATCTGCCTACTAAAATAAATAACAGGTAAATAACAGAACCCACCTCATAGAGTTTTGTGAGATGTAAATTAATATAATGCTGTAACATGCCTGACATATAGCAATTCATTAAACATTAGCTATTACTGTTTTTTTTAACTTTATTTACTTACTTACTTATTTATTTAAGTAATCTCTACACCCAACATGCGGCTCGAACTCATGACCCCAAGATCAAGAGTTGCATGCTCTTTTGATTGAACCAGCCAGGTGTGCCACTATTACTGTTTTTTAAAAAAATGGGTAAAGCTGTATTTACAGGAACGTTCATGGTAGTATTATTTATACTTAGAAAACAATAACCAAATTGAACACCATCTAAATATTACACAATAGGAAACTTATAAATCAGGGTAGTTATGTGTGCATGTGTTTGTGTGTATACACACATACTCATTTTATCTAACAATGCAAAGTTCTATATAGTAAGCTGACTTTGTTGGCTATATAATCAAATTCCTATGCTTTTACCTACCTTCTGTTTGCTAGAAGTTTCCAATTCTGAAAGTAGTTTATTTAAAATCTCCCAGTCTAACTGTACTGTTTAGTAAAAATCTTGGTGTTTTTTTTGTTTTGTTTTTAGTTTTTTCTTTATACATTTTATTTGTTAAGTTGTTTGGTGCATAAGTGTTTATGATTTTTCTATCTTCTTCATTAATTTTTTATCATTACATGTCCTTCTCTATTCTGTTCAGCACTTTCATTTTAACCTTAAATTCCACTTTGCCTAATATTAAAATTACACTATTTTCTTATTTTCAGTAGTCTACCTAATTTTTTTGACAATCTTTTATTTTTTAACCTGTTTTAAGTGTTTCTTATAAACACATAATTCAATATGTACTATTTAACCAAATCTGAGAGTCCCTACCTTATTAGAGGAATTCAATCCATTATTTAGTGTAACAAGCAACATGTTTCCTTTTATTCCTTCCATCTTACTTTATATTTAACTAGTTATTTTTCATCAGTGCTGCTTCTTTCTCATTTTTACTGATTTGAGCAAATGACCATATCTTTTTCTTCCCCTCCCTTGGTCATTTCAAAGTTTTGCTGTGCTTTTTCACCCTAATATTGGTCAGCTTCCCATTCCTGACACTCAAAAATTAAACTCTCAGTTCTCCATGATTATATTAAAAACTATATCCCTTACCAAGATATGCTATTCTCTCCTTTTCTCATTCAGTAAAATAAAACTTTTAGACTATTTTTACTACCACTCTTCTGCCCCTACTCTCTTCCCTACCACATTAAGTTTTTTGGTTTTTTTTAAAGATTTTATTTATTTATTTGACAGAGAGGCACAGTGAGAGAGGGAACACAAGCAGGGGGAGTGGGAGAGGGAGAAGCAGGCCTCCCGCCGAGCAGGGAGTCCGATTAAGTTTTAATTAAAGATAGTATGGATTTCAAGCTAATATTACAAAAGTCATTATTTAGCACTTATAAATCCCCATTCACATTAGCATTAGGTAGTAGTCACACCCTAAGGTAATCAGCAATAATTCACATCCTTGTGTAATAATCCCCTCTCCTAAGATGTGGGAACTGTGACTTTCTTCTCATCTGCAGAATATGGTAAGAGTGACAGGGAATCACTATGATTACATCACGATTATATATATGACAATATATGATATTATACATATAAGACACCATCTAGCAGATGCAGAGAGAAATTCTTCCTTGCTGCCTCTGAAGAACCAAGATGCCATACTATGAAGGGGCGTATGGAAAGGGTCATGTGGCAAAGAACTGCAGGTAGCCTTTAGAAGCTGAAAGTAATGGCCCATGGCTCACAAGCCAGCAAGAAAACAGTTACCTCAGTCCCACAGTTTCAAGGAACTGAATTCTAACAACCACAGGAGCTTGGAATAGGACCTCAAACCTCAGATGAGACCACAACCCAGGCTGACACTTCTGATTGCAGCCTGTGACTCTTGAACAGAGGACCCAGCTAATCTGTGCCTGAGCTTCTGACCTGAAGAAAATATGGATAATAAATAAATGTGTGTTGTCTAAGCCACTGAATTGTGGTAATTTAGTACACAGCAACAGAAAACAAATGCATGTTATTTAAATTTAATCACATATATTACAAGAATTATTCTTCACCACTGTTTCCTCTCTTTGGAGTCAATTTTGATTCATACACTTGGTTAGAATACCTTACGTGAGTATTTTACTGGGAGGATTTAGAGTCAACTCAATCTTTGCATTATCTGCAAAGTAAATTCACTTATCAGAAAGGAAAATACCTTGGCTAAGTACAAGATTACTGGGTTGTAATACATTTCTTAAAAAAGGCTATAGATGTTATTTTATTCTTCCAATGTTACACAGATCAACAGTACTAGTCATTTTTTCTCCCTTATATATAAATGTTTCTGTCTAGAAGCTTCCTTATATTCTTGAAATTTAGGATTTTATTCACTGATGTCTAGAAGTGTATCTTTTTCAATAATTTTGACTGGCAGTTGGCAAACTCATTCAAATTGCAGATTTAAGCCATCTTTAATCCAGGGAAGTTTTCTTTAACATACTTCTTTTAACTCTTTTCCCTCCTCCACCTGTTTATCTTCTCTGGAAATCCTATTATTTGCAAGTTTTCTCAGCTGTCTCCATATTATTTCCACTGTATAGCTTTTTTCCTCATGATTTCCATCTTTTCATATTTTGTCTCTGAGGAATGTCTTCCATGTCAACACACAGTTACTAATTCAGCTCTCAGTAACAGTGACTACCCTTTATTTTCACTTCATCTACTGACTTTTTAAATTTAAAAAATTGGGTTTTTTCAGTCCCAGAAAGTTTTCTGTGCTATAACTGAATCTCTGAAAATGCTCATATTTCTTTTATTGTTAAAATTGTTATTCATCTACTACAAAAATTCTAGCTCACCAGCAGTTGCCTACTGTTCTTAGGCATGATGCTTGATTTTCCTCTCTCTAGTTGTTAAAGCCCCTGCTCAGAAACATTTTTATTTGTTTGCCTACTCCTGACTAGTTATCATTCCACTTCAAGAAAGTGTTAAAGACTAACAGCCTTTCTTCATATGGGCCCACAAAATATTGACAAAATATGAGTTTCTGGTTGAAGCAATTTGAGGAAACTTCACTTCTAGTGGTTCTCCTCAGGTACAAGTTCGGGAGCACTCACAACTTCAGGCACAGAGAGAAACATAAAAGGCCACTGCAATCCCACAAAGGTGAAAGGTCCCATGAATCCTGACTGGCAAATACATCATGGGGAACCACAGAGTTTTAATCCTCCATGGCCTCTCCATGGGTTCCCCAGCTCCCATCTTTGCCTACTTATTCTAGCTACTGCTTCATTTACAAGTGGACTGGGTAAAAATGGGAGTTGTCAGGGATGTCATCTACCTAGCAGTTATTACTTACAGAATTCTCCACCCTAACTTCTTAGCGTAGGTGAAATCATGCTCCCTAATAGGGGCAAAGAGTGAGAGGGACACAGGATTTATAAATGAACAATAAAGATTATTTGGCCTATGATGACTTATTGTGAAATTCATAAAAACTAAATAAATAGTTTTAATTTATCTGCCAATTAATCCAAATATTTCCTCCCTGCATGAGAAAAATTAAGTCCTATTTAGTAACAGAGGTTTTATAATATTAAGGTATTAAAAGAGAGAAATAATCTTACCTAACTTGTGATGTATTTTATTCTCTGGTATTACTGTAGATATTTTTACTCTTGAGTCACCTGCAAAATGCAAATGATAATATCATGACCACAGGCTGCTAATTCCATGTTGAACTAAACTGTTAGTTGGTCAATTTCTTTTTTTTTTTTTAATTTTATTTATTTATTTGACAGAGAGACAGCGAGAGAGGGAACACAAGCAGGGGGAGTGGGAGAGGGAGAAGCAGACTTCCCGCTGAGCAGGGAGCCCAATGCAGGGCTTGATCCCAGGACCTTGGGATCATGACCCGAGATGAAGGCAGACGCTTAACTGACTGAGCCACCCAGGCACCCCGGTCAATTTCAATATTAAGTATTTTAATTAAATTTAACCTGACAATCATGTTATTACTTTTTACTGCTGAGGAATAAAGACTAATGAAAAACAGTATAACATTTTTCTAGATTTTGCTACAACGTGTATGTCTAAAGAGCCTAACGGTTAAAAAGAACAAAAAATAAGCAAGTTTTCCGGACTTCGGGTGAAATAAGCCACTTGGCAGATTAAAATGTAGGGTGTAATAAAGAACAATCAATATGCTAATAATGTAATATATGATCTTTCAAGTTCTAAAATAGTATAAGTATACTAAATTTAGCAGTGTGCCAATTAGGCCAAAGTTTTCAACTTTAGTATTGAAATAGCATCTAAACATAGCTGCCATTAATTCTTTCTCTTCCTATGCACAAATGTCATTCTTTATCAAGAAGCAGAGTCTAATTCCCTTTTCTCTGAATTCCCTAATTCCCTGAATCTCTGCTGATCTTAATGACTAGCTTGACTAACAGAACATAGCAGAAATGACATTCTGGGGCTTCAAAGGCTAAGTCCTAAGAAGATATGCAGGTTCCACCTGGGTTTCTTACAACTTCACTCTGGAGAAAGAGCCACCACATAAGAAGTCCGACCACCCCAAGACTGCCATGCTGTGAGGAAACCCAAGCTAACCGCATGCAGAGAAAAAAGATACACCTGGCCAGCCCCCAACTTGTTCCAGCCACCCTAGCTAAGTGCTAAATATAGAAGTGAAAAAGTCACCCTGGACTTCCAACCCAGTTGAGCTTTCAAATGACTCCAGCCCCAGCAGCTTGCATTTAAGTAAGAATGCATGAGAGAGCCCAAGTGAGACTTGCCCAACTAAGCCAAGTCAACCCACAGAACAATGAGAGAGAAATCAATTGTTGTACTAAGCCACTAAGTTTTGGGTGTTTCTTATGGAGCAACATGTAATTGGAACACTTAATGTCCATGAATGACCTAAAACTGAAAAGTAAGTCTACGCTTTCATTATATTCTCAAATGAGTCCATGATAGCAAAAGACTGTTTAAAATTACTAAATTGGGGCATCTGGGTGGCGGGCTCAGTCAGTTAAGCATCTGACTCTTAATTTCAGTTCAGATCATGTCTCTGGGTCATGAGATAGAGCCCCGAGTAGGGCACCATGCTGAGCATGGAGCCTGCTTTAGATTTTCTCTCTTCCTCTTTCTCTGCCCTTCCCTCACACATGCATGCACTCTCTTAAAAAAAATATATATTAAAATTAAATGATTGAATTAGATACTTTATAAAATTGCTGGCTAAGAAGAAACTTTAGTGATCATAAAATCTAATTTTCCTGTCCAGAATTGGCAAATCTATAGAGATCTATAGAAGTTAAAAGATTAGTGGATGCCATAGGCATAGGAGATATGAGAGGCGAGGGAAGGAAAGGTGCCTGCTAAAGATAAATACGGGGTTTCTTCTGGGGATGATAAAAATTTTCTAAAATTTATTGTGATGGTTACACACCATTGAATTACATCCCATAAATGGGTAAATTTTATGGTATGTGACTATCTCAATAGAGCTGTTACCAAAAAAAAAAAAAAATCTAAATTCTCATGCAATCCCCACTAGAAAAAGTAGAGGGCTAGTCACTCCTTGAAAATTCTCCCATAGCAGTGAGCTGTGGGAAGCAGCTGATGGGATCAGAGTAAGAATGAAGCAAATAAGTAAATATACTTAGAACAGTCCACTGAGAGAGCCTAGAAGCAATGATATCCCAGTAACAGTGAGCACACCAAGAGCCCAGATCTGAGTTTCTAAAGCCATTATCCACTAAAAAGAATCAGGTTCCTTAGCAGAAATAAGTGACTCCAGAGTTGAGACAGGGAAAGTAGATCAGAACATCTGAAGCCAAAAAAAGAGAGTATTCACAAAATGAAAGAAACATAGTAAAAGAACCTAAGGACCAGTTGAAAGGATGCCTACTGACCAAATCTGACACAATATGAGTATTAGAATAAATAAAAGAGATTACAACTATCAATAAACAGGAATGCAGGTAGCAACCCATAATTATATAAATAAAAAAATAAGAGAAGGGGTAAGAAAAACTATTTCTTACAGAATGCCACTAATTAACAGGAATTAGGAAAACAGAACAGCACAATTTGGTAACATCATTAGTGGCTGATGATTCAAGTGGGAGTCTTCAAAAGATGCTAAGATTGGTGTGAAGGTTTGAAAAGGAACACATTATTATAATAGCATCAGAATATCACACCACAAAATACTTACCAATTATAAGAGAACAACCATATCTTTAGAGTAGAGATAATACTGGGTATTTACCCTAAAGATACAAATGTAGGGATCCGAAGGGGTATGTGACGTGCACCCCGATGTTTACAGCAGCAATGTCCACAATAGCCAAACTGTGGAAAGAGCCAAGATGTCCATCGACAGATGAATGGGTAAAGATGTGGCATATATACACAATGGAATATTATGCAGCCATCAAAAGGAATGAGATCTTGCCATTTGCAACGACATGGATGGAACTGGAGGGTGTTATGCTGAGTGAAATAAGTCAATCAGAGAAACACATGTATCTTATGACCTCACTGATAAGAGGAATTCTTAATATCAGGAAACAAACTGAGGGTTGCTGGAGTGGTGGGGGGGGTGGGAGGGATGCGGTGGCTGGGTGATAGACATTGGGGAGGGTATGTGCTATGGTGAGTGCTATGAATTGTGCAAGACTGATGAATCACAGATCTGTACCTCTGAAACAAATAATGCAATATATGTTAAGAAAAAAAAAAAGAAGAAGAAGAAGATAGCAGAAGGGGAAGAATGAAGGGGAGTAAATCAGAGGGGGAGAGGAACCATGAGAGACGACTGACTCTGAAAAACAAACTGAGGGTTCTAGAGTGGAGGGGGTGGGGAGATGGGTTAGCCTGGTGACGGGTATTAAAGAGGGCACGTTCTACGTGGAGCACTGGGTGTTATGCACAATGAATCATGGAACACTACATCAAAAACTAATGATGTAATGTATGGTGATTAACGTAACAATAAAAAAATTTAAAGAAAAATAAAGATTAACATCACCAACAGGAGATGGGTAAACACTGTCTCCTAATGAGATGCACAAAGAACACAGAATCATTTCTGTACTACTGTCACATGCGCAAGGCTGGCATCTGATCATGAGGAAACATCAGAAAGACTCAGGTTGAAAGTCATTCTAAAGAATAAAAAGTTGTACTCTCTCAAAAAAATGTAAAGGTCAGGAGAGTTAGAAAATGCCTTATTGAAGAAAACTTAACAGACATGAGAATTAAATGCAATCTATGATCCTGGATTGGATCCTGAACCAGAACAATAATGGAACTGCTGGTGAAATCTGCACGGAATCAGTGAAGGAATACTAGTGTTATATTAATGCTGATTTCCTGACTTGGACGGTTGGTTAAAGTATGATTATGTTCTTCTCTTACATCATATCTGCATATACTTTCACATAGTACTATGTCTGCAACTTGTTCTCAAATAGTACAGAAAAGGCTAATAATAGCCAAAGCAATCTTGAGAAAGAACAAAGCTGGAGGTATCACAATACCAGATTTCAAGATATACTACTAAGCTGTAGTACATCAAAACAGTATGATACAACCACAAAAAAAAAAACACAAAAAACATAGGTCAATGGAATAAAAGAGAGAATGCAGCTATAAACTCATGCTTATATAATCAATTAATCTATGACAAAGGAGGTAAGAATATACAAGAGGGAAAAGACAACATATTCAATCAATGGTGTTGGAAAAAATGGAGAGCTTCATGCAAAAAAATGAAACAGGACCACACTTTCTTACACTTTACACAAAAATAAACTCAAAAGGGATTACCGACCTGGAAGTAAGACCTGAAACCATAAAACTCCTATAAGAAACCAGAGGCAGTAATCTCATTGACATTGGCTGTAGCAACATTTTTCTAGATATGTCTCCTTGGGCAAGGGAAACAAAAGCAAAAATAAACTATTAGGACTACATCAAAATAAAAAGCTTTTCCATAGCAAAGGAAACCAACAACAAAATGAAAAGGCAACCTACTAAACAGGAGAAGATTATTTGCAAATGATATATCCAATAAGGGGTTAATATTCAAAATATGTAAAGAACTTAAACAACGCAACAGCAAAAAAACAAAATAATCCAATTTAAAAATGGGCGGAGGACCTGAACAGACATTTTTCCAAAGACATCCAGATGGGCAGCAGACACATGAAAAGATGCTCAACATCACTCATCATCAGGGAAATGCAAATCAAAACCATAATGAACTACTACCTTATACCTGGCAGAATGGTTAGAATCAAAAAGATAAGAAACATGTTGGTGAGGATGTGGAGAAAAATGAACCTTCATGCAGGATGGTAGAAATGCAAATTGGTGTAGCCACTGTGGAAAACAGCATGGAGGTTCCGCAAAAAATTAAAAATAGAATTATCATATGATCCAGTAATTCCACTACTCAGTGTTTATCCAAAGAAAACAAAAACACTAATCCAAAAAGATAATTGCACCCTTATGTTTACTGCAGCATTATTTAAAATAGCCAAGATATAGAAGCAACCCAAGTGTCCATCCACAGATGAATGGATAAAGATGATGTGGTGTGTATACAAACCACACACACACACACAGTGGAGTAGTACTCAGGCATAAAAATAGTGACATCTTGCCATTT